TGGCACTACTGAAGAAATGTTTTGTTGCCTATACTCTAAAGCTGCTGCACTTCACACTTTCTGGAATTCTACTGCTTCAAGGTTGGTCAAGAAGCTCTTTAAAATGAGATAAATTTTGATTTACAACTGCAGGAACTTTTCGGATCTGTGTTTCTAGATAGCATGAACTTTCTGACCTGAAATACTTGTTTCTATACTTAATTCTTTCAACAGTTCTGATGGTGGCAACCACTACAATACTGTCACTGCATATCATGACTTCCTGATGACTGCAAGTGAGTGGTTGACTCGCAAGGTCACTGATGTATGTTCTATCTCTGCACTGCCTTTTAAGCTGTCAACATTAAACATTTGGTTTGGTCTGTGGCTTGAATCCTACGCTCCACAAACTCCCATAGTAATGAAGGGGCTGTGGAGTGGATGTTCCTTGAAAATTAATTGATAATTTTATTTTATTTACGAAATAGATAGTAGTCTGGTTAATTCTGTCATCTTCCATTTTGTTAACAAACTGTTTTATGAATTTCAGAAACCTATTGGTCAACTTGCTTTAGGTATTTTGGCGATGGTCACTTCTTCTCTAGTATTTCTGAGACTTCTGTTCTGTTTGCGAAGAGACGAATGCCTAAAAGGGAATCAAGGGTTCAAGGACATGAAAATTAGTATGCACAACTGGAGTCTGGAGGAGATTTATGTTGTTGCTGTGATTGTTATTCTTGTTGTGAGCATGGGATCTAGTTCTATGGTAGAAGAAGAGCAATATATTTGGCATTTTCTGACATCAACACTGTTCTGGATTTTAATCCGTAAGATGATTAAATCTTTTCCTGTAGGAGAGCGAGACAGACTTAATAAAAGCAACTACCACTCATGTTTCTCACAAGTGTGTCCAATTCTTGTTATGCTCATTTGTGGTAGGATCATAAGAGCTTGGCATCAGGGTGGTGTGAACTGGACACATCTACCTGACATATCAAAATGGCTTGAGCAAGGAGGAAGCAATAAAAAGAAGGCAATCAGAGTGGTTTCCTGCATCTTAGTGACTAGCCTGAGCTTATTTTCATTCTCTAGGTCAAGGTTGAATAGAGTTTTCCGTAACCTCCTCCAGTTCTTCTTTCTACTGTCAGGATGTTTAGTTTTACAACATATTATGATATATCAGGATAACATGTTGCTTGTATCTGGTCATGGTGCAACCTTTATGGCTCAAATAATCTACGCTGTTCTGAGCATAGCTACGGGCTTCACTGTATTAGCCTCTCCATGGCTTTCTCTTGTCTCCATTTGTAAAGATTCAACATCTTATAGCCAGTTAGCTGGTTCTCATTCAGTTAAGAATCAGATGATACATATGTCAAAAGGATTCAAAGAGTCTATCTATTTAATTGGATGGGCATACATGATTTCCTGGTCTCTGCTGCAGCTTTTGTTACAGCAACCAATCAACTCAATGCCAGTATTTTTGCTGCTGCTGCAGATCTCTGCGGCGATGATGTACTTTTTCAATGATGGCACATATCGAAAGCCATGGGTTGAGGTAACTTGAAGTATGATTTTATCCAAGTCCAAAATTCTTTTAATCTTTCCAGTTCTCATCAATGCTTTAGCTAGTGTGCCAAAACTTGATGAGGTTAATTATTTTTTCTTTTAGGTTGCAATATTGTACTTTATTGGGATGACTGGCCATTTTGGTCTCGGCAATAGCAACACTCTTGCCACCATTGATGTTGCTGGAGCTTTCATTGTAAGTCAGCTGATATACTTGAGCTTGAAGCCTTCATTTTTTAGTGCTCTACATCAATCTGATTGCTGTTAACACTGGTGCAATGATTAAATTATAGGGCATCTCAAGCCACTCAACCATACTTTCTGGTATACTGATGTTCTGCATCACTTATGCGTCTCCGATATCAGTGCTTCTTTCTTTGATGATATACATTTCTTTGAAAGATGAGTGTGTTAATGGGCTGGACCATACCATGGAATTTGGGCAATTGCTGAAGTCGGAGCTTGCTATTCCATTTCTTGTTCCACTGGGAATAAATTCTGTTCTCTTATCAGCATATACCATCGTATTGCTCCAGATGAGGAACCATTTATTTATTTGGAGTGTTTTTTCTCCCAAGTAAGTATTACCAGATGAGTAATATATGCATTATGCTAGTATATTTTATTCTGCTCACACTGTGACACTTTGGTGGGGGGGGGGGGGGGGGGGAGGGAGAATTTTGAAGCACAAGAACTTTATCTTCAAATACAGAAGAACGCTTCGTGTATTGGTGCTTTCTTCCTCCTCATCAGTATATATGCTTTAAAGTGGTGTTTTTATAAGTAGCTAACCCTAGCTCTATTTCTGAATAAAACAAGAATAGCAAAAATTTACTGAGGCTTCATGCATGTAGTATTGCTTTTATCCCTATGTGGAGCTTGTGAATTGTGATAATTGACAGTGTGCACTCTCAGGTACCTGTACATATGTGCAACAACAGCTTGTGTATATATGGGCGGTTCTATCGTGGCTGCAACTGTGCTTTACACATCCTTGGTGTATACTTTGAGTAGGAAGAGGATTGTCTCTGTCAGAAATAGTACAAAGAGAAGTGATTGACCAATAATTCATCTCTATGGTCTCATCAGGTCAGACCACGCTAATTATCTCACATACTGTAATTCCTGTAGAAACACACAAATTTAGAGAGCTGTAGGATATCCCGAATCCTCACCCAAACCCTTTTTCTGTGCTCACTGGATGTGGGAGTATCGATGCCCAAGATTTTTTCATGGAGCAGATAGGCCAACATTGACTGTTAGAGCTCCTGAATATTAAAGCATTCTGTTGCTGAGGAAAGTAAGAAGTTTGCTTGATCTACCTATTTGACACTGTAATCCTTTTGTTTCAGACAGGTTTGAAATGGCTTTCACTACCACATCCTGGTCTTATCAGTTAGGCTTGCTAACATCTGCTGTTTCTTCATTTGTCTCTCTTCTGAGGTGTTGTGTACTTGAATTTTGAAATGGAAGAAATAGATGAGAGAATTCGGTGTTCCAATCCATCACTGTCATTTTACATTATCTAATTAACTGAAAACAAGTACCGACATTAGGCTTCCATAGTTTCATTTGTGCATTATTTCTTTGTTATACTGCTTGTTCGGTCATTGAATGTATGCTGTCTGATTGTAACAAAATAACAATCTGTTGTACCAATGTATACTTAATATTGCAAAATCCTTACTTCATTTTGATTTATACCCTTTTGTTTGAATCAATTTACCCATGCAAGATAAATAGGGTACAATATATCTTAATAGGACGGAGGGAGTACTCAATTACTCATGTGTCAAACTGTCAATTATCTTAGACTGTCACTGATTTACTTTTCATCTGTATGACTGTCCACGTGTACACCCTAAAGTGAATGTCAAGTGAGACTGTGAAGTGTGAGCACGTGGACAGTGGATGCCAGATTGCCAGAGTGTAACTATATTGGGCTCAAAATCTATCCACCTTTTGCAATTTAAGCCGGCTCACTCACTGTCTACTGTCTAGTTTCTACCTTTTCTAGACTTACTAGTACTCTGTATAATTCATGTATTCGTTGTGGATTTTGCCCTTTTTAAAACCCATCTTGCTTACCTTGTTTATGTAAATTTTACTTCCTAGTACTCCCATGAGTCTTACATAAGACGGATTTTTGTAAATTTTATTACTTGTAAAAGACTATTTGTATAGCACAAGATTCAAAAACTTGGAGGAAATCTCTAAACAATTTATCCCTACTCTTAGGGCTTGTTTGGTTGAATGTAGAAATTGCAAATTCCTTTGAAAAATTGATTTTCCATGAAATTGAACTTCCTAGGAAATTCTAAAAGTTGTTTGGTTAACTAAGGGAAGTTCCATTTACCTTGGTCCCCCATTTTGTGGGAAATGGAAATTCATGAGGAGAATTTCTACTTCCCATGAATTTGTTAACCAAACAACTTCAAAAAATTTCAATTCTTAGGATTTTCAAATTTCCGTGGTTTTCTTTGGCAACCAAACAACCCCTTAGATATTGTGAAATTAAGTAGGTAATAAATGTAGGAAGGAAGGGAGGGTATAAACATTTAACAATTAGGATTTAGAAATAAGAATATAATAGACAATAGCTGGTTCCTACAGGCGCCGCCTGTACGGTGCAACGTACAGTCGTTTTGTAGGAAAGAACATGATATATAAAAGTAATGAACATATAGTTATAAATAAAAGAACAAACTATTAAAATGTAATGAGCATATACCTAAAGTAAAAATAACATACTATTAAAATGTAATGAACATATACCTAGAGTGAAAAGAACATATTTGCACCAAAAAAATAAATAAAAAGAACATATGTTTATGTTCATTGATCAGTCAGTGTAATGTACTTTATTTGCAACATAATGATCATTGCTTAATGTGAAATGTTTATTAACTTTTGTCTTCAAATTAGGGTGGTTATATATAGATAAAGTTTATTACATAATATTATCATGTTCTTTATTAATATTGCAGATGTTATTTAGATATGAAAAAAATATATAAAATTAGATGTTCGTTACAAAATAACTATATGTTCTTTACAAAATAATTGTATGCTCTTTACAAAATAGTTACATGTTGTTTTTGCATTTTTTGGCTGTACCAAGGAAGGTACAGCTGCCTGCACCTTAAAATTTTCATATAAGATAAAATTGACAAAAAAATTGAGAAATACTCTGAAGAGCGGAGTAATATGAGGTTTAAATCTTATTTCCACATCGTTTTGTAAAAGGTAATAAACTAATCTAAAATAATAAATTTGATACTCGTATTAATATCAGAAGATAAGAATCAATCAACACAATTATTGTTTGATTCAACTTAATAAGTAACCCAAAAGATTGCATGTATCATTTTTCTTTTACGAAGGGTTGATTATATTTTGCCAGACATTTGCGCCCATAAATATAAATGTTCTGAATTCGGTAAAACTAATTTTCCATACCCTTGTTATCATAAACGGATCTGTATCCATTTTCGTGCAATTAACCCTAAACGCAACACATGTCTCCCCCTCATAACACTTGCCAATTTGCGATCGTCATTTCCCATTGACCGAGAAAGGACCAATTCATCCTCCACACTCAAAATTAGCAACACAAACTCCTCTTTCTTCTTCCTCCTCCTTCCTCACATCGTCTTCTCTTCTCACAACCCCACCAAAAATCACCATGAACAGACCAAAAGAAGCTTCAGAAAAACCCCAACAAGAACAAGAAGAAGATGCAAATTTATCTCCTTCCCAACTTCTTCAACTCGCTGAAACCCATCTTCGTCTTCGCAATTTCTCACTTTGTCGTCAATATGCTCTTGAATCTCATCAACCCCATGACCCTAATTCTGTCTCCAATCATCGTCATGCTTCTCAACTTCTTGCTATCTCAAATACCCTTTCTTCTCCAACTAATTTCTACTCAATCCTTCAAATCGATACTTTCTGCAACGATTTTACCCTAATTCGTTCTCAATTTAAGCGCCTTCTCTCAATTCTAGACCCCATTGAAGAGAAATCCCCATTAGCAAAGGAAGCAGTTAATTTGATTTGGAAAGCGTATGAATGTCTTTGTGACCCCACCAAAAAAACCCAGTTTGACTCCAAGCTTATTGGTCAAAGGAGAGAGAGTGAGCATGAAGATGGTGGTGATGAAGAGATGGGTAATAATTTCTGGACTTTTTGCCCTTACTGTTTTTATATGTTTCAGTATGATAGGGTTTATGAAGGGTGTTGTTTAAGGTGTCAAAATCAGACTTGTAGAAGGGCTTTTCATGCAGTTGCTTTGAATTCTCTTCCTAAAATGGAATTGGATAAAGGGCAGTATTTCAGTTGTTTTGGGTATTTTCCTCTAGGGTTTTCTCCTGAAAATGGGGTTGGGAAATTTGATTCATGGTCTCCTATTGTGGGGTTGTTTCCTGTGAGAAGAGTTGGGAAGTCTCGTGCTGGTAAAATGGATTTTGTTGTTGATGATAATGGCAATCCTAATGTTGATGTTGGTGTTGATTTTACTAACTTTATCGAGATTGCTGATGAGAGTGATGAGTCTGAGAATGATCATGAGGTGAATGGGGAGAATGTTGGGAGCAATGTGGAGGGAATGAATGTGGGGAATGGCCGGGCAACGAAGCGGAAGTCGGTGGCACGGAATGCTAGGAAGTTGATGGGGAAAAGGAGGAGGAGAAATGAGGGTGTTGCTGCTAATGGTATTGGGGGTTTTGAGGATGAAGGTGTAGATCAGGATTCCGTTTTCGAGGGTGGTCATGGTGGTGATGTTGGGGTTGGGAGTGGTTTCGAACAGGATGACATGGCGTTCTTCGAGGAGAATGGTGAGATTTTTGTTGAATTTGGGCCTGATAGTGTACTTTGATGGATAGAGGAAGTGGAACAAGGTGCAATGCAGGTCAGTCTGTTGGTATGCTTCGGCATTGGAAATAGCTAATGTAGATATGTTGAAATATTGTAGTGCATGGTTTAGTAAATGACAGTCCAGAAATTTTTTGGGTGAAATGGCTGTCTTGTAGATGGCAGGAGCTTAACTTTTGTTTTTAGATTAATTTAGCCACTTTCAAAAAAAGAAGAATATGAAATTAGCAAAGTTTTTGTGTAGTTGGTTGCCCTTTTTGGGGATGAAGTAATGCAAGTTTATATTTAAACTTTGTGGATAAATGACTGTTTCAAGTTTGTAAATGGTTTCATCTTCTGTGGTTCCATATTACTGATATTCTTATCATAACAATTGCTATATTAAGGAAATCTTTCTCTTTGTTTTTGGTAGTTTCTGCGTGCTAATTTCAGATTTGTTTGTGCAACTTAGGTTAAATGAAGAAGTATATGGTTGCTTAGTTCCATATGTACTCTCTGTTGTAGATTTTCCTTAGTTACATATACTATTCTGAATTTCTGATTGCTGATTCTTTTAGGTTGGCATTTTGTCAATGAATTTTGACTCCGTTCACTTTTCTCCACTTTTTGTTTAGAGATTGAATTGTACTGATCACATTGTTGGTTATACTTGTGAACATATTTGTTATTATTGAGTTGCTGTGAGCGTAAGTGGGCTATTGTAGATCACACTTAATGTGAATTAAATTGGTAGAAAACAATGATAATGAGATTGTATCCTTGGCAGAGGGTTGAAGATTAGAAAACTTGGGTGGAAATATGTAAATAGAATACTTGGCTTATGTTATTGAGAATTTTGCTTAAGGTAACATACCAGTGATGGGCACCGAAGACCTTTATTTTATCATTCATCATCTTTACTGAAGTGGAAATATGTAAATAGAATACTCGGCTTATGTTATTGAGAATTTTGCTTAAGGTAACTTACCAGTGATGGGCACCGAAGACCTTTATTTTATCATTCATTATCTTTACTGAAGTGGAAATATGTAAATAGAGTACTCGGTTTATGTTATTGAGAATGTTGCATAAGGTAAGATACCAGGGATGGGGACCAAAGGCCTTTATTTTATCATTTATCATCTTTACTGAAGTGGAAATATGTAAATAGAATACTGGCTATGTGGAAGAGGGATCTTTGATAAAGAAATGGGAGTGCTCTTAGACCTCATCTTATCACTGATTAGTTCATTAGTTGGTGCCCAACAGCCACCCACTTCCTTGCTGTCATTGTTTGTGCCCCTTAGAGCTGATCAAAGCTACTACACCAGATTTCACAATTGTTAGCGATCAGGGCTCCATGCTTCTGCTGAAATGTTTCTACTTTGCTTAGAAAGACTTTAAATTACTGTTGAAATCTTCACTTAGGAATTTGTTTCATTCTCTCTGGTTTTCTTGAGATCACTGTCAAATAATGTAATAATGTACCATTTGATCAATATTCATCTGTCGCTACCATCTGTTGGTTACTACTACGAAATTATTTGGATATTGATTCCAATTCTCTGTATTTTGGACGGAGACAAGAAGCATATGTGAAATACTATTGATCTGATCATCTGTATTTCTTCTGTGTTAGTCACTTGTATGGTTTATTATTGTGATAGAGTGTGTGCACGCATTATACACCATGCAAAACAGACGACACTTACTTAGGAATTGGGATGCAGCATCCATATTTTCCTTCCTCGTTATCTTACCATTGATGGGGGTGTTTTGACAGTGTTGTGCTCTTAAGCATGAATGGTAATCATTATCCTACATGATGGTTTAGATCCCCAGCATATGCCATTGATTTCTATTTGTACGGTTGGAAGGGATTAGTATACATGTTTTCACTGTAGTCTGTAGATTAATAGACTGTCTATTTTCTGCAAGAGTAGCACATAGATTATAGACAATTCTTACTGCTGCAGGCCTCAGCACGCTCTGGTTGATGCATGTAATTTCTCTTCATTCGTTTTGCTCCAAGGTCACCACTTTTTTCCCATGGATCATCAGTATATATCAGAGTAGCTCTTGTGACATGATGGCATTACGGTTCTTAACCTCAAGGTAAGCACACTTGTACACAATACTTTTTTTGCATCGCTTATTTTGCTGTGATTGGTTTGTTTTGGTTTAAGATAAAATTTAAGGAAAGATTATGCACCTCGATATGAGACATTCTCAGACTAACCTAAGACCAATAACTCTAGGGGTAACTAATACATTCATCTTTGCAATTTGTATTAATTTGTCATATTACATCGCGAATGTAAAAAATATTGTAAAATGTCTACCATCTAGGTGCCTTGAGTTTTGGTTCTTAATTACTGCTCCAATATTCATGTAAATGTAAATTTTTTTCGAAAATCATCCAGTTACAGTTGCACTCTTGCTTTCTGTTTTTTCTTTTTCCTCTTTTTTGACAACCAATAATCAAAACAGCTCCACTATAACTAGCTTTGATTTGAGCCCAAACTGAGCTTGAAGCTCAAGTCCACGCTCTTTGTTGGGTGCAATTTGGTTCATACTATATAACTCATTTAACAATCATTTTTCTTAGGGCGCGTTTGGTTCGCAGAGTGGTATAGGTTTAGAATCAGGAATAGGGTTAAGGTGGTATCGAGTTGGAACTTGATACTTAATACCACGTGTTTGGTTCAATTCTGGAATGGAATATCATCCCCTTGATTTCATGTATGTGAACCTAATGGAATGCAATGAGCCAAACCCACCTCCCCCCAAGGTTTCTAAACTCCATACCTCATGGGTTTGAGGTATGAGCTTAAAATTCATATTTTTGACAACCAACCATATGGTATGGGTTTTGGTCATTCTAAACCCATACCTCATACCTATAATCTGCGGACCAAACACCCCCTTAATTAGGGTCTGAAATTATTGGGCCTAACTACTAGCTGAACTCAAAACTAGACTTAGCCAATTTTCCTTTCGAGCAATAGTGGTCCAGCGAAGGACCACGCCGTAGTAGGCCAGACCAAGTGTTTTGGGCCAGTTCTAGGTATGGCCAGATCCCAGATAGTATCTGGTTTGTGCTGATTACATATTACTGTGGCCTTGTATACTGTCAATTTAGTACACTCACTTTAAAAAAAAAACAGGCTAATTAGCTGCTGGATTTGAAGATTAGATCATGATTTATAATTTCACATACCTCTTAACCAATTTGAGCTGAACCTAAGATGGACTTTGTTGTTGTTTTTGGTTTAGCCTGCTTGACTATCTCTAATAGTGCTTGCAATTGGACTATTAGTCCGGTATGATCCAACACGATTTTGTTATTAACCAAGCACGGCTGGCCTTGACCACTAGGCTCAGGGGTTTGGATCATTTTTGTCTCTGATGTCTGAAGACTTAGAACCAAGTTTTTGGGTTGCACTAAATGACAAGTTAGCAAAATTGGCAAATGAGATTTTCCAGATTAAATTAATTAAATATTAAATATTATCTTTTGATATTAGGAATTTTATCTTAATATATAACAAACCGTGCATATAAGACAAAAGTTAATGAACGCCCCGAGGTCATTGGATAAGTTAACAAAAAGTAGAAAGATTATATTAAAATTAACATTAATTACACCAATCGACGCATGATTTTGTCATGCTTTCCCAAATTAATACCACTTTATGTGAAATTTTAAATGCTTATCCAATGTTTCGTGGGCGTTCGTTAGCAAGATCCTAATTATAATACTTTCTCCGTTCATTTACTCTAGTCAACACAACTCAAAAACAAGTCGTAAAATCTTTACCAAATGTTGGCCTGGTATACAATAATCAAATTGTGGCAACTAAAAGAGAACGGAGAAAGCATGATATAGCATTGCTCTTTCATGAAGCATACTGAGCTCCAAATCAAAAATCACAGCGAGGTTATTGTTGTTCCATAAATTCAAAATTGGTGTGGTCAAAAGACAAAGTTGATGGGCAAGACTATACTACAACCCTGTCAAACAAAAGGTTGGGCCCTTTTCACACATCTCTTTCATTTCACGGTCTCTATCATCGATCCCAAATAATCAAGCTTTAATAGTAACTAATAATTCATAACACAAATGTCTAAACATGCTTGAGCACCATATTACTATTACAGTGAATCTTTGATTCATATATCATCTCTCTAATCTAGCAATCTGTATTTAACTGGGCTGCACCAAGCGCGATTCTGTTTTATTCTAAGGCTCTCTTCAACTCATCCAAGTAAGATGAAATTTACTAAAATAAAGGTTTAATTAGTACACTGTAAACCAATTTCATTAGGAAGTTGTTAAAGTTATCTTAATAAATTATTGCACTTGTTTTCAAAAAAATAAATTTTTGCACTTTGTCTATAAGGCTGTATCCTTATATGTATAAAGCTTGAATTATTTTTATTGAATTACAACTATTTTGCTGAAATTTAGTTATTCAACTTGTTAAAACATACTTGTTTTTCCTGATTTTCTATACACATGTTTCTTAAAGTTGAATTAAACTTACTGTATTTCAAATGAAATTAACTCATTTATGAAATTAACTTATTTACGCTAAAATGAACTTATTTTGTTGAGCTGAGATTATATTTACGTACATTTTGTTTAAGGTGAATAGGACAAGATATGAACTAGCTAATATGAATTCAAATAAAATAAGGAAGCTCTCAACAGCATATCATTTCCAAGACCAGATTAGGAGTATATATACAAATTTTCATAATAATATGGGTCCATAAAAGTCATAATATATTGGTAATATCAAATATCAAAGACAGAAGTCCTAAGATATGATTACTTGTTATTTCTTAAAAAAAATAAAAAAGTAGAACCAACTATTTTGGTGATTGAATTAGAGAGAATAACTAAGGACAAGCATAAAGGCAAAGCTAAAAATATTCCTCTCAGAGGTCAATCGTCACTTATCATAGTCAGAAATCAGGGCTATTGAAACCAAACCATCTACTATTCTGCTCTTTTTGCTAATGATTTTGTCCCTCTTATCAGTTTAATTTCTTCAAACTTGTAACTTTGCTAATTTCCCGGAACAACTTTTCTCTCAAAACTGTTAGGAAAATAATTTACGTGTATGTGAGTTGAAATTAGTTATCTCACGATGAAGAATTGGATGAAGATTGACTAACATACTTCGTAGTAGTTCCTTTTACTCGAACATCCAATAATTTATCATCGTTCAACTTTTGGTAAACCTATAGAACATGAATATGCATCTCATAAGATGTTCATGTACTAAGTACTTTGTGTGTATAACAGTTATATGTCTATACTTTATTCTTGAGAAATTCACCAATAAAAGTTGAAAAATAGGGTAAGAAACCGAACAAAATATACTCAATTATCTTCTGTGATTGCTGGATAAAGTGAAGGAGGAATGTCTGCTACAAAAAACTGTTACATTTAGGGTCCAGCTCATTTTGTTGTTCCCTATTTCACAGAGTTTTTGATCAGAAATTTCAGATCTCTTCTTTCTTTTCATATTCATATTCTTGACTTGAAATTATAGGGTTATAATTTTGGACTATTTTGTTTTCATATTTTGTGGAGCCTTTTTTAGGGTTTCTACAAAGTTACAGAACATGCTATTTTAAAGTTTTTAGACAATGTTTAAATCTACTAAAGATCAAAGAACATTGAATTGTACTCTCAAAGTATTACTCCTATTACTTAATCATCTTTAAAGTTCATTTATACTTGTACAAAATAAGAAGTATATACGAAATACATGCATTTATAAACTCGTTTTCATATATGATGAATATCATCTAATATTCATAAAGAGTACAATATAATAGACTTTCTTTTAAGCATCATATGTTAAGAAACCAATCATCTTTACAACCATCATTTGTTCAGGCGACTTTGCTCTAAAGTCTAAACTACCTCTAACAACATATATGATGATGTGAAACCCGTATAGTCCAATGTAACATACATGTTTATGTACACACACACACTAAAACATCGAATGTCACCCTCATACGTGATTTGCTAGACAATCTGCAACATTACGAGCTTGCATTACCCCGTTAATATAATGTCAATAAACTTACTTTGTCCTAAAAGATGATGATCAATACATGTTAAATAATCTTTGAGATTTATAAAGGAGACCGTACAAGTTTCAACTAAAAAAAACCTTAGTCAAAAACACAAAAAACTGTTACAAAAAGCAAATCGAACCGATCATAATGATACTTGCTGTTATAACAAATGATAAGTTGTAACTAAAAGTAGGTTACTTTTTAGGTAAGAAGTATGAAATTATAGAAAAATGAAAATGTGCAGAAGTGTTTGTTTACAGAGTTAAGAAAAGTCAAGTGTAAGACGACCTTAAGCAATAAAAGTACACTTTTTAAGAAAGGTAACTTCTATTAATTTACAGTAAATTTTACTGAACCAAGTAATTAGTGTCAATAATTACTGTCAACTGTAAAAAAAATAAGGGAATTTAACTGCACATGAAAGGAATGTTGTGTGTGTTAAAACATTTTTACTACGGTAAAAATGGTACTAACCCAAGTATGTAGATTAAAATAGAAATAAAAAATTAAGCAGGGTATATAAGAAAATGATTGAGCTTTGTTTATTTACCATCAAAGTCCCGGCATTATCACTGCTGAACCAAACACATTTGTTGCAGGAATATTCCACTTGCCTTATTTGCTTTTCAGCTTGTCCTTCTTCTCTATTTTACTTTAGTTTCTTTCCTTTGTAAACTAGGGAAACTTATCTTAGTAAATAGTAATCCAATCCCATGGTTTATTTTGGCTCTTGTCTTTGTGGTTAGCGTAGTTGTGTGTTCATAATGAGAGTGCCAAAATCATTTTCTAGGAACTAGCCACGTACTTGAAATATGAAAATTTCGTTTTTATTTTATTTTATCAATGTGTTAATAAAAAAATAAAAAAAAACTTGATATAATATGACAAAATGTATATAAAGAATTTGGGAGGAATAAGTAAAAAGAGAGTGTAGATTAATTTGCCACTTCATTATGATAAGAAGAGAGTCTACGAAGAAGAGAGAAAAAAACCATATTAGAGGGACTTTTTTTTAACCATTCAAAGTCCAAATTTTGCAATCAAAGTTAGTTCAGCTATATTGATCATGAAAAATGGTTGATCGCCTACAAAAGATGAAAAATGGAAAACTTTGTCCCTAAATATTTTCATCACATGCTTCATTCCCACTAATGGTAATGGCTCCCATTTTATTGCAAAATAAAAACTAGAAAAGGTGCAGTACATTATATTCTATAATGAAGATCATTAATTAATGGCTTTAATGTAACCCACGGGTTATTTAAAAATTGTTATATACACTCGGGTGTAAGGTGCACCCAAGTGTATTATGCTCATTTGATACTATTTTTGCTCATTAAAATCTATAATGAACAAAATTATATCAAATGAGTAAAAAAAACAACTTTAGGTGTTCATACCTCTATATACACCCAGGTTTATATAAAAGCTCCTCCATGTTATTAGTTACGAAGTTTAAATAATTTATCATATATAAATTTAGATAAGGTCAGGTTGATAGCTCTTAAAATATAAATTTAGGAAATATAGCTTGAATAACTGAATTTATAAAAATAAGTTTCAAGTAGTGATAATTGAGATACATAATATGTAAAAATCACATGAATTAAACACTCCAATGCACCTAAAGTTAACATTTTGAATTAGTCATGCATAACAATAATTAAGTTGATGGAAAACGAAAAATATATTAATATCTAAAACATTTTAAAAATTTTGAAGTTCAGATAGCAAGAACATGAATACAAGGATGCTAAACGTAGTGATAGTATTAATATATGTAACATAGATTGATTGTGTGAATATTCTTTGTACTAATCTTTTGAATTGTTTCCTTATTGCTCATTTGCACTCTCTACCAACCAAAGAATATATAGCTTGAGTTCATTATTAGACCTAGTTTTACAATAGTACGTTCTCCAATTTTTTTTTTTTATTTTTTTTAATATTTTGAAAACTCGTTCTCCATTTGTTCAAAATACTGGTAATAGCTGGTTAGGGTTTGCATAATTTACTCGTTAACAATGGCAATATTTATTTTACTACCATAATATATATAACAAATTATCAAAAATTTTATTTTATGATATATTATTAGTCTTAATATATATACATTACGTACAACTATAATTTTTTCTAGTAATCCATAATTTTGTACATTTATAATCAAACTCATGGGTTGACAAATTATTAATGAGCAGGTTTAAATGTTGCAAAGCTAACTAGCTAAGTAGTGAAATAGAGAAAACACTTCATACTCCTTTAAAATAAAAAGTATGCAATACATTAATTTATTTTTATTTATAAGCATATATTATAAATTTGTACCTAAAAGATGAAATCACTATGCTCAATAGCTCATTTACTGTGTTAGTAGAAAAGACAAAAAAAGGAAAAAATAAAATTCAATAAATTTTTTTTTTTTTTTAAAAATGATAGTACTATAGGAAGACTAACCAATTAAAAATACTAATATAATAATAAATGACTTTTCTACAAATAGTAGGAATATTACTCTTCTAGTCTTCTATAAGTAGGACTTTACACAATTTAGGGCTACCACTCTTCACTGCACAACTAGCAACATCTTTGCTCCTCAGAGATTCTTAATAATAAATCAAGGTAGAGATTTCATATTTTGAGCACATAAATTAAAATCATACTATAAGATTCAAATTTATTTTGTTTTATTATTTTTTATATTCCCTCCTACTAAAATTAAATGACTTAGTAAGTGTAACATTTGTATCATATCTTTTCATTTGTCTTCAATGTATTTTTCTTTAAAAAAATTGGTTAATATTTCATGTCATTTTAATTTATGTCTTTCCTACATTATTTTGCAGGGGAAAAATGTTGGTAAATTCAATGGCAAGTTATTATGAAATGGGAAATTCTTCAAATATTAGTTATCCAAATACTAATAACTTTCTTCTAAGGCCAACAATTCAAGAAAACACTACAAATAACGCTATAAATCACAACATAATAGCAAGTGCAACCACTATTTCTCCTTCATCTATGTTATGCTCTTCATCAAAGGCAGGGCTGTCCCCTGAGGCTAAAGCTCTAGCAGCTTGCAAGAGTCACAAGGAGGCCGAAAGGCGCCGTCGCAAGCGTATCAACGGTCACTTTGCCACCCTACGTTCCGTCCTCCCTAACCTTGTCAAAGTAAGCTCTCTCTCTCTTTTTTTTTTTTCTTCCAAACTTATGATTATTAACTTTATCATACCCTATCCTATAACATGTTATTCACCAATTCAAGCATTTAATTATGGTATGTAGTGCATGTATGTTGCATATAGGAAGATTCTCCAAACTAAGCTTTATTATGAAACTAATTACGAAAGTAGACGCGTGGCAAAACTATTTACCAAACTAAGCTTCTGAGGACAGCGTTTTACACATTGATTTTTTTTTTTTAAAAAAAATAAATCAATGTGTAAAACGCTGCCTCAGTCAGCGTTTTACTTGTTGACTTTTTTTAAAAAAAAAATCGTAATTTTTATTTTAAAATAAAAAAAAAAAAAAATTTACACTAAAAACACTGCCCGTTTTTTTTTTTTAAAAAAAAAAGAAGAAATGATGTTTAATTCTTTTCCTCTTTTAACTCTCAATTACCCCAAAGATTTCCTCAAATATCTCAAATATTATTCTTTGAAATCACGACTTCACAGTATGACAAGTTTGACAATTGATTGCCGTATATTTTTCAACCAATTTTGGGAATTATTATCTTCTTTCCCACGATTATGGCTGTCAATTGTGTATAAATTGGGAGGTCTTCTACCGAATGAAGCATGCAAGCTTAGTCAGAAAATACGGAGTGAATTACAAGGGTGATTGAGTGGTAGTAGCGGCAATTCGGAGGAGTGATTGGAGCGAGAAGTTCACCGGTTTTGGATCGACGTCGACGAGATTCATAAGTGATATTCTCCTAGTATTATTCTTCTTAATTTCGTACTATCATTTTCAATTCGAGGAACTTGTAGTTTTGATTGATTTGAGTACTTTGTCGTATGATTTTTGATTGATTATATAAATTCAACTTTGGTTCAATTCGAGGATTTTTTTTTTTTTTTTTTTTTTTTTTTTTTTTTTTTTTTTATAATCAGAAATTAAGAATTAAAAAAAAAATTACACTAAAAACGGTGCCCAAGGCAGCGTTTTACACAAAAAAAAAAAAATCAGGGTAAAACGCTGTCCGAGACAGCGTTTTACCCAGAAGCTTAGTTTGGTAAATAGTTTTGCCAAACATCTATTTTCGTAATTAGTTTCGTAATAAAGCTTAGTTTGGAGAATCGTCCTTGCATATATGCATCAATGCATTATATTGAATTATGTTGTACGAGGTATATATTTAGTTAAAATAAAGTTCATATATTAATATATATGTATTAACTTTATTATTTTAACAAAAAGAGCACAAGTAAAAGTGTAAGAAAATGATTAGTAGTTATAATAATATTTGTTAATATAGTAATTAATTATATTATCTACACGACTTTTTAATTACCTTTCTTTTATGATTATATAAATGTTTGAATTTTCGTCACGTATGTAGTCCCTATGGATAATTTTTCATTGAAAGGGACTAATTGTAATAATCATGAATTCTCTAAAAGGAATGGTCAGGCAAATTTGTTGGCCAAAGATTTTGCTACTTTGTACTATAGTTGATTTGTTTGTTCGTTGCACTTGTCCATAATAACAAGTTGTTGGCAGGTACAAACAAGTAATAAAATTTTGATTGTGGAATTTAGTTACATTTGAACAAAATAGAATATATATGCAAAAACATGCATATTGTATAGTAATTCTTTGACGAACTTTCCTTTTCAACAAGATATTATATAGGGACTACTATTATTATACATAGCACATAAATAGATAAATACACATGTATTATATGTGATCTTGACCTCACATAAAGAGTACGTACTAATTTTGTCACATGTACAAAAATTTTGTATAGACAGACAAGGCCTCGGTGTTGGCAGAGGTGGTCCGGCGGGTGAGGGAGCTAAAAAAGGCCACCTCGGAATTGACAGGGGATGGACATGAGGATTACGATGGGTGCAATGCTTGTTTGCTTCCGGGGGACATAGATGAGGTTAGCCTACGACGTAGTGAAAATGACAATACTACCCTCATTGCTACCTTGTGTTGTGAGGATAGGCCTGAGCTTATATTGGACTTGACAAGGGCATTAAGGTCAGTTAAGGGTAAAGTTGTGAAGGCGGAGATGGCCACGGTAGGGGGTCGGACCAAGAATGTTTTATGGGTTCGGGGAGTTGGTGGTGGCGGGCCGGAGGGGCTGTTGAAACGGGCTTTAAAAGTGGTGGTGGACAAGGCACCTTCTTCTTCTGGGTTGGGCCATGGGCTAAGGATGCACCGACCGTATTAATTGGGAAGTGTGTTGGGCTGGGCCTGTAATATTGGTAGTTAAGTATACAGTTGGAAAATCCTAACTAACAAATATGTGTACTCTATGTTTTTCTAACTGTCAATTAGAAAGGAAAAAAAAAGATAGTTGTGTATGTTAATGTATGGAGCTTGTACTAGTTAGTAACTTTATATGAATATGATGATAGTTTGGGAATCTGAAGCCAATGATAGTAATATGGCAATAATTAGTGCTTTTTATTATTGCAATTATTGTTTAGAGCCTTAATATTGTCTTTATTTCTAACAAATCCACTACTAATTGATAATGGTTGGAATCCAATGATACTAGTAATGATAGTATTTTACTGCCAAATTACAAAGTAGTAATGTCATAAGATACACTTGCGCAAATAATTTAATATAAGCAATTTTCAAATTAAATCAAGATTAGATTGCACATCAAAGATCAAAGTATATAAAAATGGCATACCAAGATCACATGTAATATCAAAATTTAGGATTTAACGATCTAGACAAAATTCTCTAATCGCAAAATTACCACACTTAGAAATGGTGTTAAGTTCACTTCAGCAATAAGGTTTTAAAGCTATAGATTTATAGACAATTCAAGGGTTAAATGTGCAAAATTTTAAACTAGTTAAATAAGAATATACATATGAAACTTAACTTTTGCTCATAGACACTCGTTAGAAAAACGGTCTAATTAATTAGTCTCGAGTTGAAACCTTTAGACCTTTAGTCCTCCTCTAGTCCATAGAGGACGAAACTTCACGTGGGATTCCTCCATATTTAGTGCTTCTTGTATAGGATTACCAAAATAATTAAGCTCCAACATCATGATTATTTAGTGATACTCCTATTTTGCAAGTATTGACTTCGTTGAAATTTCTTCCAATCCATGTTCTGATTAGATGTTTCAAAGTAAAGACTTGGAAATAATGCAATTAACAATAATTTTTTAAAATAGAAATAAAGCTTGATTAGACATAATGCTATTGAGTATTGAAGTAACTAGCAAATAATGTATGAAAGTGGACAAAAACATGATCCATGCTGATTTTTTAAATTTTAGTTCAAGTTTATTTGAAATTTAAACTTTAAACTGGTAAATTGACCGAAATACTTACAATTTTAATTATGAGATGAATATGCAAAATTGATGCATACTACTCATTGTACCATATTATTCAATCTCAATCATATGACTCGGCCGTGAAGTTAGATAATATAAATCGAAACTGAACCATAATTGATCTGACCTAACTTGATAATATCAAAAATCAATTAGACTTAAATATGACCCCACACAACACAAGAAGAGCCAGTAAATCAATTTTGGTTGTGACATGCATGTAATTGTCCAAGAACAAAGTCAATTACTCTGTACTCCTCCTAAAAGTCTACATATAACAATGTAAATTAGGTTCTAATAGTTACAAGAAACAGATTAAATCCTCTTTAATCATTGATTATACATTATTTTGTTTTATTTTTCGAGTACAAATTGTCATGTTATGTTTTGGACATAGAATTTTTATGAACGCAAACAGCATCTTTGTATAATAATCTTAAACAAGTTGGATCATACTGACCTTAATTATTGTTCATCTTCCTGAATTCCTCCTCAGTTATCCTATGATACAGGAATTAAGCAATAGCAAAGAGTTAAAGTCAGAAAGATTAGATATGTTAATTCAACTAAAATTAGAATCTGAAACCTTGACAATTAAGTGGATTGGTCAACTAACTAGCTCTTCTTCCAAGCTAACTCTAACCCCCTCAACCACATTTCATCAAACTCTAATGATGTTTTTGATTTCATCATCTATAAATTCTCTTAATCAAGCTCCTAAATCCTCAACTCAACATAAAAATACAAGTTATTTCTTCACTCAAAAATACAAGTGTCTAATCAAGTTAGCAAGCTATTTCCTAACCTCACCTCCACTTGAACAATGGCTTCATCTAAGTACATGATCATATTCGGTCTACTTATGGCCATGTCATGCATCGACGTGAGCCTTGCAGCACGCCATCTATTGCAGACGGTGCCTACCTTACCCAACCCGACTACTGCCATTCCCCCATTGCCTACAATCCCAACAACTCTGCCTCAGCCTAGTATCCCACCGATGCCAAGCACCCAAATCCCGTCTCTCCCAAACATGCCTTCCATTCCAAACATGGCTCTCCCTCCCATGCCAAACCTTCCAACCACCATTCCCACCACCATCCCCAACCTTCCGACATCTATCCCTTCGATTCCTTCCCTTTCTCCACCTCCTTCAAACTAAGCAGCGCTTCTACCCTCAGTTTTTGAGACTATACTGTCATCTTTTTTGTGTTATTTCTGTCTGATGTTTCCTACATTTTTTGTATGATTCTGTATTTTTCTTTTGTATCAGCCTTCACATTTGTCTGTCAGAGAGTTCGTTGTTATATACTTATATACTTGTACTATCATTTGTATCATTGTTTATATACTTGTTTGTATCATTTGATTGCAATTCTTCTATATATGTAGTTGATATAATATTGAATTGGCATCAAATAAGTTTAGAAAAAGTTAGAGCCTAGAAAATATATGAACGTCTGGTCAAAATAGATGAGCCTATATATGTGTGATATTTCCACCTTGTGAACATATTTCATCAGATCAATTTCAAGTAATAAACATGTCAACAAGAGAGCCCAACATACATCACACCATTCCCATAATAGATTTTGTGTGTATTGATCTAATTTAACATTTATATTATCAACATAATATACTCCACCATCAACTGGTAAAGCATACGAAATTACAAAGTTGTAAACTTGCAACTAACAATTAATCACGGACACGTTATTACATTGCATGCATACTAGTATACGACTATCCGTAACAATTCCAATGTTATAATGTTGTTTAAATTCACATATGACCAATAGTCGGTCACATAAAGTTCCATGGTGATTGTAAGATAATGAAGGAAGGCGTATACATACACGACTAGCTAAAGTGAAGTTTAAAGACAAAAATGAAAAATACAACCACCCAAATAGGCTCCCGGGCACACCTGGCCTCTTTCTTTTCCATGTTCGAAAAAGTAAAAAAAAAAAATCAACATTGAAGGCTTGAAGTACAATTTCTACCAAGCGGCGGGTTGAATTTTTTGCAAACGACTTAAATACGCAACGGGGTACTGTAAGTGATAGAGTGGTATTGCTGCCACATTCCACTTAGATTCAACCCTATGTTGCTTCAATTCGGCTAGCTCTCCCCCTCTTCCCCCCCCCCCCTCACCCTATTCCCTAGAAACACGAATTATATTTTAGAAAACGAGATTAATGTTGCATCTTATATGCTAAAAAATGCTAATTACGGGATTAAGACAAGTCATAAGGCCTAAGTGTTGGGATGTTGGATGGTGCAAAAGGGCGTGCAGCATGTGCACAAGACATGTGCACCCAAGGATAATGCATACTTGTAGATATTTTTGTCATTAAAGATGAAGGAGATGGTTTCAGGTACTATTTATGACTCCCAATGCAAGGCCCTTTGGGAACCCATGGAAGTATTTGGATGCATAATCTTGTCGGGTGAAAAAATGATATATGGAAGCTAAATATGAAGGTTATAATACACGAAATTAGAGCAATTTAGGAGATGTCAGAACATGGTGTCGAAAATTCACGAAACACTATGAGATGCATCCGGGATCATAATATTATTTTGACCAATATATGACCATTATTTGGCTACGTAAAGGTCCCGGGAAATCTTATACCCAATATAAAAGGCGTGTACAAAAACGAGTAGATTGGATGGTTCCGCCCACCCAATTGGACTCCCATAGGGTATTAGGAACCATGGTAAACATCTCGGCAATTTTTATTTCTAGGCAAAAAAAAGTCAAAAAATTCTAAAATTAAAGGTTTTTGATGAATTTTTAAAGCTTTCGAGACTCGGTGTCGAAAATTTTTGAGAGATTAGGGGATACATCCCGGGGTCATATAGTGTCGTTCTGAACCATATATGATCATTATATGACGTCATAATTTAAATGTCCGTGGTAGGCTTGAGTTTATGTAATCGGTGCAAGTTGTAAACGAGTAAATTGCCAGTTTAAAGGAAAATTGGATGGTTACACCCACCCAAATGGATTCCTGGAGGGTATTAGGGATTGTGGTAAACATCTCAGCAATATTTATTTTCGGGCGAAAAATAGTCAAAAATTTCCAAAATTAAAGGCTATAACTCACGCTTTTTAAGAAATTTTGAAGGTTTCGAGACCCGGTGTCAAAAAGTCTTGAGATATTAGGGGATACATCTCGGGGTCATAGAATGTCGTTTGGAACCATATATGATCATTATATGTTGTCATAAATGTTCGTGGTAGGATTGAGTTTATAAAACCGATGCAAGTTGTAAACGGCTAAATTGATCGTTTAAAGGCAAATTGGATGGTTCCACCTTCCTAAATGGACTTTTGTAGAGTATTAGGAACATCTCGGCAAAATTTCTTTCCGAGCGAAAAAAGTGAAAATTTCGAAAAGTGAAGGCTATAATTCATGCTTTTTGAGGAATTTTGAAGGTTTAGAGACCTGATGTCGAAAATTCTTGAGATACTAGGGGATATATCCAAAGGTTATATAATGTCGTCTAGAAGCATATATGATCATTATATGTCATACATGTTTAAGGTAGGCTTGAGTTTATGAAATTGGTGGAAGTTGTAAACGGGTATAGTAATAGTTTAAAGGCAAATTGGATGATTCCACCCACCTAAATGGACTCCCGGAGGGTATCAAGGACCATGGTAAACATCTCGGCAAAATTTCTTCGTGGTTGAAAAAAGTCAAAAAATTTACAAAATTGAAGGCTATAATCCACACTTCTTGAGTAAATTTAAAGGTTTCAGGACCCGATGGTCGAAAAATCTTGAGATACTAGGGGATATCCCAGGTTCATATAGTGCCATTTGGAAAAGGAATGTCAGTAGGGCGGGTCAAGATGTGTCTCGGTTTTGCGGGTGGTGGGGCGGGGAAGGGAATAAAAACCATACCTGCCATGGGTGATGGCGTGGGGGTGAATTTTAGGTTATACTCGCCCCACCCCACCCCACCCGCCCGCCCTATTTCTTACCTGCCCCATCCCCATTTAATACCCACCCCGCCCAACTTTGTACCTGCTCCATACCGATCTTCATATATATTTTTACATATAAATATACACTTCATACTTTTTTACTATTTTAAATATTAATTTTAAAAAAATGTGTAACTTAACAATGATTTTTTTTTAGTCATTACGATGTAATATAGTTGTATTTAGAATGTGGGGATTAGGTTAGTCTAGATCTGTCAATTTAGGTAAACGGGTCAGGTTTGGGTCGGGTAAGAGTGAGTCAAGTCAACTCGTGTTGGGTCAATTCGGATTAATTCCATAACCTATGTGGGTCGGGTTTGGGTTGGGTCATGCTTGAGTCGGTTCACGTCGGGTCATACTTCTTTTCATGTGAATAATAGGTCGGGTTTAGTTCGGGTTTTCACAGGTTAGGGTAATTCTCGGGTTCGAGTCGGGTTCGGTTCAAGCTAGTCAATAATTTGCGGGTTATAATCAGGTCATTCTCGGATTTAAGTCAGGTTCAATTTAAGTCAATAATTTTTGGATTATAATCAGGTCGGGTCATTCTCGGGTTCAATTCAAGTCAATAATTTACGGGTTATAATCAGATTAGGTCATTTTCAAGTCGGGTCATTCTCGGATTCAAGTCGGGTTATGTTCAAGTCAATAATTTGCAGGTTATATTACAATCAGGTCAGGTCATTTCTAAGTCAGGTCATATTCGGGTTCAACTAACTATTAATGGATAACTATCATTTTTATCAAGCTAATTATTTCCTTTGACTATAATATATATGACAATATACTAGGGAACTATAGTCTATAATTTAGGAAGATAATCAGGTCTTAAATTTGAGGATGATGCTCTTTTCTTTTGTTGGTTTGGAAATTGCTTTTATCAACAATAATAAGGTGGTCTAAATTGCATTTAAGGTGATTTGAAATTGAGTCAAGAACAATTTGGGTTGAATTTAGGTCGGATCAATAACAAGTCGTGTTAATTTTGAGTCGGGTTAGTAACAGATCGGGTTGAATTTTTGGGTCGGGTAAATAGGTCTGGTAGATTTCGGGTTGGGTCAATAACAAGTCGGGTTGAATTTAGGTCAGGTCTATAACAAGTCGGGTTGATTTCGGGTCGGGTTTGTAACAGGTTGGGTTAGGAACGGGTCGGGCTGAATTCAGGCCAGGTTAGTAACAAGTCGGGTTAAATTCGGGTTTTGACGGGTTAGGGTCAATTTCGGTTCAAGTCGGGTTCGGTGCAAGTTAATTAAATTGGCTGTTGTAAACCGGTAAAATGGCCGTTTAACAGCAAATTGGATGGTTTCACACACCCAATTGGAATCCCATAGGGTACTAAGGACCACAGTAAACATTTTGGCAATTTTCATTCCCGGGCAAAAAAGGTCAAAAAATTCCAAAATTAAAGGCTTAATATCCACGCTTTTTGAGAAATTTTGGAGATTTTAGGGCCCAGTGTTGAAAGCCTTGAGATTTTAGGGAATTCATCTCGGGGTTATCTAATGACGTTTGGAACAATATATTATCATTATATGTTGTCATAAATGTTCGTGGTAGGCTTGATTTAATGAAATTAGTGTAAGATATAAACCGGTAAATAGGCCGTTTGAAGGAAAATTGAATGGATGCACTTACCCAATTGGACTCCCGGAATGTATTAGGGGCCATGGTAAAAATTTCGGCAATTTTTATTTCTGGGCGAAAAAAAAAGTCAAATATTTCCAAAATTAAAGGCTAATATCCATGTTTTTTGAAAAAATTTGGAGGTTTCAGGGACCAGTGTAGAAAAGTCTTGATATTTTAGGGAGATACATCTTGGGGACATATAAAGCCGTTCGGAACCATATATGATCATTATATGGTGTCATAAATGTTAGTAATATGCTTGAGTTAATAAAATCCGTGCAAATTGTAAACGGTAAATTGGTCATTTAAAGGCAAATTAAATGGTTCCACCAACCCAATTGGACTCTTGGAGGATATTAGGGACCATGGTAAACATTTCGACAATTTTAATTTCCGGTCGAAAATAAAAGTCAAAAAATTCAAAAATTGAAGTATGCACGCTTTTTGAGAAATTTAGGAGCTTTCGGGGCCCGGTGTCGAAAAGTATTGAAATTTTAGGGGATACATCTCGGGGTCATATAATGCCGTTTGGAACCCTAT